TTAACCTAATTCAAGTTTTGTGCAAAAACGCATGATCGCACCGGTTCGCCTGATGCGTTCCAGCCTACGTTACTAACTGCGACTAAGCTGCAGATTATTATCCGGCTAACAGATCTGAAAAACATTGCGGTAGGAGAAAAAAAACCTGTACTTTTTGTTACTTTCATCGGCCATGAGACTATTGCAGCTGCTTATCCACGTGTATGCACAATCGTGCAAGCCTTGTACAGTACTTCGTTGTTTATTTGAAGTATTTCAGTGTGATAAACAAATTGCACAACATTTAACAAATGAAAGATTTAGGCAGTCACATGAACAGCTATGCTTTATTTTGCACTTCTGTGGTCCCTGAGCGCAGATCACACCAAAAGTGAGCCCTTCGGTTGCAATATTCTTCTTTCATCTGATAAATACCAGTACCAATGCTGAGGTAGCGTGTTCCGTGATTTTGATTAACTGGCAGCCAATTAATATTTTCACAAGACCCGTCACCATTTGGATCCCTAAAGTAAACTTTGTCACCAGCTTTAAAAAATCCGCTCGCACAATCGGTGTGAGGACTTAAAAAACCAAAAATAATGTAATGGTGGAGACTTGTTCATGCAACGGCTGCTGGTAGGATTTACACGTAGTGTAGGATACCCATACATCAGCCACCCAGTGTCGAGAAGATGTAACTTCTCGAGAAGTATTATTCATACAAATACAAAAGTGTGTGCAGTTTTATTCAAGTTCAAAAATGTATGTATTTTGTATGTGTGTAAAGTGCAAGTGTATGTGCACTTTCATTCTTGTATTTTGTATGGCGCCAGGAATATGAGTCAACTGGGGGTGGCTGCTCACATTCTTTGGTGGGCCTAGAACTTCCACCATGATGCCCATGCTCGGTGGGGTAGGACTTCCGGGTGGTACGGATGGATTGGCGATCGCTCGAAGTTCATTGACCGTTCTCCTCATTCTGCAAGGAGACGATGACGACGGATGGCGGCGAGAAACAACAATGACGATCGACGGTGACAGTATCAGTAGCAGCCGGCAAAGACACAGGGCGTCAGGAATAACCAATTCACCCCCAACCCAATTTTTAGTTTTATATTTTGATGATGTATAATATATATCATTTTGCTACGTGTGCGCGCTTAACTCTTGCGTTATGTTCGTTCGATTTTTTTTCATTTGTTGATAAAGGTTATATTACCCAAGTTTGAGGGTATAAGGAAGATACTAGTCGACGAACCGAGCTCAAAGGATCAAAAGGGCTGACGTACTGTGCTCGCCAAAACGAAGTGAAGAAGGAGCTCACAAGTTGCATTCGCCAAACAATCTGAGGAAGGCCGACGTATCGCGCCCAACTGAGGAACTTGGGCTACTATTACTACAGGCCATTCTGCCGGCCTAGAACTATATTTATTTAGTGTAAATTCTTTGGAGTGGACAATTAGAACAGCTATCGTGGCAAGAACTTATCGTCGCCCACGATACTGAGCAGCAATTATATTGTATATTATTTGTACCCTTGATGCATATTACATGCACGCGTGAAACATATTACTAAACGCTTGATGCACATTACATGCATTGTTGCTTATTACCGATACATACTAGTGCTTCAATACATGTAAACACAAATGCAGCATGCATGTAATATAGATTCGTCGTGCATGTGAAAAATGTGTTCTTTATATTCATGTATCGTCAGCGAATTTTTACTGGGCGAGAAATTTTAATTTACCATTATTACATCAAATGTCAAGGAAAAGCGCCTCGAATGGGGAAAGGAAATTAAAGGAAGCGAAAGAGATAAAAGATGAACATAAATTACATAAATTTAAGGTTTTTGCGATACCGCAACCTCATCTGTAATAACGGTGCCGCCGTCAATCAGCGGCACCAAAATTAATTATGTATGCAGCTCTTTTTGTAAGCTGGGCCCAGCTGTAGCGAGGAGGAGCTTCAAATGGGTTCAGTAGCCGGTTTTTCCGGCAAATTTTCTGTGTCAACATTTGTTCTCGCACCGACCAGGACGCCGTCTACCAACATCAGGATGCCGTCTGCCAACGTCAGACCTTACCTTCCACCGTTTTTACTTTTTTATTATTGCCATTGCATAAATATACCTATTGTTACCTCTAGTTGACAAGAAATTGAGGTTAATTATAATAACAATATGAAACTCCAAAAAAAATTCAAGGTCGGAAAGAAATTTGTGTTTTCAACACACCAAACAAGTAGGATTGGGGGTGGGAGGTCGTATTTTGCTGTTATCTGGGAGAGGGAGGAAGGGAGTGAGGCGGGGAACGGAAGAACAGGGAAGGAGGGGGCGGTTTTGGAACTAGTAGCCTATAGGTACCATGTTGTCCTACACGTGTATCTTGACAAGGCTGGTGCTGTAGAAGATGCTCTTTAAGGTGGCACTATTTTCCTTACTGGTGAGAACTGTGTAGCATTACTGTCTACCGCGCGGCTGCTCGAAGGAAAGCAAGGTCTCTCGTACCTTAGGTTGCCGTCTGAGCATTCCAGGCTTCCCGCGCGGCCCCACTAGGTCCAATAGGGTCTTGTAGCTGACGACGATACCCAATTCTGGTTCTCCGGAGAAGCAGCAGGAGTATCCGTCAAGGCAAATTGTGAAATCAGATGTGGAATCGATTCCATTTTAGCGACTGTTCTTCATAAAACGCAGTAGTCATAGCATCTGGGAGAACAAAATCGAAAAGCCAGAGGGTACTTGAACTTACGTTATCACAAGCTGCAACATTTACTCTAATCTTATGAAATGGTCACAGACATCTTGTAGCCCGAGCTGACGAATTTATGCTGCGAAGAAAATGCTTTCTAAGTGCGTTACACAGCTAGTGATTTTTTTAATGGACAAAACGGGTATACCCAAATTTGGCAAAATTTGTCCACAGTTTGCCGGTCATATGCTTCACTTGCTCATCCATCTTCGTGTATTTGAATGAGAAAATGATACTCACTCCAAATATGTACGATATTTCAGTGCAGTGTGTTGCACCTGAAAAAAAAAGAATGATTCGTAGTTGTTGTCGGCTCTAAAAATAGCAAAAATTCTATTTTTTGACATGCGCCAACAAGGCTTTCATAGCAGTTTTGCTTAGATACTAGAATCTCAGTATCCTGATGTATTTGCCGTCATCGGAAGCTATTCAGTATTCGGCATGATACTTTAGAATGAAAACTCAATGCGTTTAACTGAAGAAATCAAACAATGCAGTGACACATACAAGCTTCACTGAGTAGCAGCAGCCTGCTACCTACTACACTATAACTTGCAGCCGATCAAAAACTTAGAAGCAAATTGGTAGCGGGAGGAAAAAAGTAACCCAAAGTTCATCAACGTTTACCATACGCCCACACTGCGGGAGCCTCTTAGCGCTATGCTGGATGCTACTGCGTTAAGAACGTTCTAAAAATGTTAAAATTTTTGAATTTATTGAGATCAGAAGTCCATGAAATGGTACCTTTGAAAGGGACCCGTAGTGATAGTAATCCGAAACTTTTCGGATTGAAGTGATCGAACGAATAGAGGTACACGTTGTGCCCGAGC